GGATGTCTATTTTCTTATCTTCTAACATTGATTCTAGGACTTCCTAGCACTAAGATCGTTTCGAGAATACGTGGCCTGGATTTAGTCTAAATAATCTAGAGCTGGACAGTGGTGTACCTCAGCTGGTAGTTGCTGCACCGTGGCGATTGGAATGAGCGGGGATGTGGAATATTCTAGAGCTGGACAGTGCAATTGTAATCATAGTGTCAGGTAGGAAATAAGAGAGAGAAAACAATAGAAGATACAGGTTTTATCTGATCTCGATGAAACTTGGTATGCATGTATATATTGATCAGATCTTGGTCAAGTTCAAAATTGGTATTAATCGGATGAATGGTCTTAGAGTTATTGCCCTTGACTTGGTAAACACGCGCCAAATTTGGCTTGTATGCACGATACAGACTAGTTTTTATTCGTTCTTGATCAAACTTGGTATGCATTTATTTATAGATGTGATTTCAGCCGAGTTTGAAATTGGTAACAATAGGATGATTAGTTTGCAGAGTTATTACCCTTGTGTCTACGTCGTTGAGATGTATTTAAATTTGGTGATAATTTGATGAACTGTTTTGTCTTGACTATTTTAAAGATTATTGGAAAATTCATTATGAAACCACTAATTGTTTATCATTTCTGACGGCTGGTAGTGGGCGTATGTTACCTTGCCTGGCAAGCTATCTTTATTCATTGAGCTAGTGTATATATCTTTTTCTCATTGTTTTAAGATCATTTTCTAGGTTTTAAAAGGATGGAGAGGTGAAGTTTCGGATGGTGGGAGACGAGGAGGATGGAGAGGTGAAGTTTCGGACGGTGGGAGACGAGGAGGACGGAGAGGTGAAGTTTCGGACGGTGGGAGACGAGGAGGATGGAGAGGTGAAGTTTCGGAGGGTGGGAGACGTGGAGGATGGAGAGGTGAAATTTCGGATGGTGGGAGACGAGGAGGATGGAGAGGTGAAGTTTCGGACGGTGGGAGACGAGGAGGACGGAGAGGTGAAGTTTCGGACGGTGGGAGACGAGGAGGATGGAGAGGTGAAGTTTCGGACGGTGGGCGACGAGGAGGATGGAGAGGTGAAGTTTCGGACGGTGGGAGACGAGGAGGATGGAGAGGTGAAGTTTCGGACGGTGGGAGACGAGGAGGACGGAGAGGTGAAGTTTCGGACGGTGGGAGACGAGGAGGATGGAGAGGTGAAGTTTCGGACGGTGGGAGACGAGGAGGATGGAGAGGTGAAGTTTCGGACGGTGGGAGACGAGGAGGAGAAGAAGAGAAGAGGACGTGAAAAGGAAGAAGAGGACGCTTACTGTTGCTGCTCTGGCTGTGTAATTTTGTAATTTTGTAATTTTGAAATAAAATGTTTC